AAGGGTTGCCTCACACTAACAGCCTATAAAAAATATTAAATTACGGACATGAACCATGTGAACATGTTCTGTTTCATAGACTGTTATGGCATTCTTTGATACCCTCCAATCCGTAGTAATCCCATTTCCACCTTTCTTTTTTTATCATTTTTCTCATTATTTCGATTTCAAGGTCTGTTCAGAGGAGCTGGACCAAAAAGAAAAAAAAGCCTCAAGGAAAAAGCACTAGACCTAGTGTTTGAGAATCACAACAACAACGACTGCGGTGAAGGTGCGTACGAGCTTTTGAGGTAAAACTTTTCCTCACTTTCACAAGCCTCGTGTTTTTAGCATTTTTGCTTAGTTTTTTCTTCCATGCATGAAGTCTAAGACGAAAGTTAGGGCTATTTCACCATACAATGACCACAGTGACAATTATTTCCTCGTAATTTTCTACGAAATTTCGTTAGTTATTCTGTCTGAGGAGCAAATTACGTCCATTTATATTTCAGAGGAGCAAAAACGAAGTGATGACGAAGTGAAAAAGTATTTCTGTAGGTTTTATAATTGAACCGAACAAAAGAACTTCCCTGATTTCAATTTAAAACCTGTGAGAAGACTGCAGTAAAAGAACGAGAGCCAATATTTTGCTTTACCTTTTTTTCTGGGTGCGTTTTTCCGATGAGTGTGAGATCGGTTTTTTGCCTTGTTTTGTGCTTTTGCTTTGTGGTCTGTTAAGCAAACATAATCCATATCTGCGTTGAATTCAATCTCCATCAAATATGTATCAATCAGGGTTACTTGCATTTTAGTTTGAGTCATCTTCTGGAAATGCATAGCACCAACTGTTGCAGAGCTGAAAAAAAGCCCCATATTTAGAATTATTCTATTCGCGCTTGTTGGATACGAAACTGGTTAAAGCCAACTCGGCGCTACTCTCCTCGTTGGATATTTACCATCTCATATCCAACCCGCACTCACGGAATAATTATTGGATCTATATAACGCTGGCACAGTTTTGGAGTCAAAAGAAAAAAAGGGAAAAGAATGCCAGCATATGAAACTGATATCGTACCCCTGAGGGGAGCCTATCAAGTCATTTTGTCTTTTCAGATCCAAGCCCCACTTTGTTGTTTCCAAAGTTATTTTTTTTACCAATATGGAATGGTTTTTCTCTTTTTTAGTGAAACTCATAAGGTCAATTGTACGACTCATCCATGAGGTAAGTACTCATCCCAATTTCTGTATTGTTACAAAGTTTCTATGGTGTAGGGATGGCTGTTGGAAAAATGAACTTATCTCGTATCAATCACATTACTCGTTAGGTGCTTCGCAACTCATATGCCGTAACCTTATTCTATACAGCTATAGCTTCTCACTCGCTGAACTTATTTGTGGATAAATTAAAATTAGCTTCAAAATGTTTAATTTTGATTGAGAAAATCCACCACGGGGCTTGTCTTTTGTCTTCCCCTCCCTCCTGATGTTAGTGGTACTTTGGATATTTTTTAACTGTCCAAAATTACCACCAATAATCTGCATGTAGCTAGATAATTATGTTCAGAGGTAGACATGTATTCTCACATTTAATTTTTAATAAGCTATGGTAATGCTAGTCGTCTGGGAAGGTTTATGATCTGTACTTTAGTAAGACCTAATCATATTTTGTTCCATTTTTCAGGGTGTAAAGGTTCACAAAAAGTCTGCAGAGCTACAGTATATTACTCAGATATTTGAAGATGGTATGTACCTAACG